ACACAGACACACAGGTGTAGAGAAGCGAGGGGCGGTGGGCACAGCTTCTCTGATGGAGAAGTTGCCACCAGAACCAGCCTCAGCTTTATTCTTTTAAAGGTCAGAGAATGGGGGAAGGGGAGAAGGGGGTGTAAAAGGGATGGGGAAGAAGGAAGTGGGATGTATAGAGAATAAGGGAGGAGAAATTGGAACATAAAGCCAGTTGTTTTTGGATATAAATCAAATGAAGAGAAAATGCCTGGCTCTATATCATTTTTCTGATCCTTTTGGGGGATAATCTGATAAACGCTCCTGACTTCCTTCAGCCTGATACTAGGCAGTATTGGGGTACTGGGTATCGACAGCAGGAAGGCAACCATCGACAACAGGCAGGTGCCGCTTTCCTTTTTTTTTGAAGGTTTTTTTGTTTTTTTTTTTGTTTTTTTTTTTTTTTTTGCTATAGGGTGCGTGCGCTCGCCAGAGAGACAGAAAGCGAGAAATCACCCCCCAGGGGGGATGGCCACGCCCCAATCCCTTCTCCTCCATTCTCCTCTCGGGATCTTGGGCACGCACGCACATGCACCCAGCGTGAGTTTAAGCCACCAGGTCCGGGACGCGAACCACAGTCGACTACATGGCAGTCCAGCGACATAGCCATTACGCTAACTGTTGGCCCGGTACCGCTTTCCTATGCAGATGCTTCTCATAGCCCTGCTAGAGTAGCTTACGGCACATGTCTGCATGTGTCTTCAGGCCACATGTTTTCAGATTGGCTGCTCTCCACAGTCCCCAAAGGGCCTCAGAGGTCAGGAATTCGAGGAGGTTTCCAGCTGTATCCCAGAAGCCAAATGCTGGCCTTGGCATGAGTCAAGAGTGAGGACCGAGGATCTCTTCCAGCGTGCTGGCCAGGAACTGGTAATTTCTACCCATATTATACCAAGGCCTGAAGTTCCGTCCCTCGTTCCACACAAAGTCTTCCCAGCAGGTTTCATAATCTGAGACAGAGGAGGGGGACAGCAGTCATTTCCGCTGGAACCAGGAGGGCTGAGTCCTGGGCGGGCTCTCCTGGGCCCCGCCCGCTCTGTCACCATCCTAGAGCTGTCACCCCTCATCCCCTTCCTCCCCCATCCCTGACCTCCCCGCAATGCTCACCTTGGGGGGACATGATTGCCACCCGGGCCCCTTCCTCACAGAGTCTGCGAAGCCCATTCCTGAATTTTTGGTCCCAGAAGTAGTAGAGTCGGGCGGTGAGGATGGTCAGGCTCACGTTCCGGTGCGCGGCCAGGAAGTCGGCCACCCACTTCGCACAGTTAGGGCAGGGGCTCCAGGACAAGTACCAGGTGACCTGGAAGTCCTTGTCAGGGGACAGGATATCTTTGCAGAACCACAAGAGAAAGCGCAATTCTGCGTGGTAGGAAGGATGGACCTGGTAGGGGAGGAGAGGTCAGGAGAGGGCAGGGGCAGAGGTCAGGGCCAGGCGGGGACAGGGAGCAGCCCAGGACCTTCTGATCAGGGGCTTCTCTCCTCTCAGTCCCGCCCAGTCCCTCACCTCCCCTGGAGGGCTGGGGCTCCCCCCGCGCTCATCCATGAAGTCTCGCGTGCGTTCCCGGCATCCATTCTACAGCCCCTGAGCCTCGGGCGGGGCCCGCGGCCTCAGTTTGCCCCTGCCTGCTGCTTGCTGGGAGGGCACAGAGCGACCCTGTTCCATCAGGGAGCCACTGCCACGTGGGGCTACTGAGCGTGGAAACGTGGCTCAGGTGGATGGGGTCGTGTGGCGAGTGAGACACCCACGGCTCATGTCAGAGACGACAGGAGAGACAGTGCACACCGCCTCCTGCAGACCCGTGCGGTGATTATGTTCAACGCTGTCAGACTTTCCGGACTAAATAAATTACAGGCACAAATGTCGCCAGCGTCTGTCAGCTTTTTAGCCTACGGGAAGAGGAATAATTTGGCCGACTCACTGGCTCCCATGGTGCCTGGTGGACAGCAGTGCCCTGGAGCGAGCCCACTCAGCCTGTGGCGGCTCCCGCCCCCTAGACACATGCCAGTCTCCATCCTGGATGGAGGAGGCAGGAGTGGGCTATGCTGGCAGGTGGGGTGTGGTGGGTCAGGGGGCAGAGCTGGGGCTTTGCTCTAACAATGGCTGATGCTGGTCACAACTGCCCTAGTGGCAGTCCAGGGGGCCCTGCCATGGGGCCTGGGCAGGCAGGGGAGGGGGTGGGTTCACGGTGGTGTGACAACTCGCCCTTGACAGCAGGCCCGGGGTGGTGGCCAGGGCAGCCCGCCCAGCCCAGCAGCTGCAGGGCCAGGGGAGGTGCAGGTGCTCAGCCCCCCAGCCCTCTACGGGTGCTCCTTCCTGGGACTCGCCGGACGCGGAGCCCAGGGGAGCAGCTATCGGAAGCCTTTGGTGATCCTCCCGACAGCACCGCTCATCGGACGCCCAGAAAAGGACTGAGAAACACTGTGGAGGTGTGAGGCGGGGCCGCTGTCCGGGCTTTCCCCTCGACATTTCCTGCACTCCGCCTGACTTCCGTCCAACCTGACACTGAGGAGAGCCTGGCTCTTACCTGGTTCTTAAAGATGCCCCTGTCAGGGGGGACAGTGCCCTGCGACTCCGTTCTGTCCAACTGGTAGCACAGGAAGGTGGTGTTCCGATCCCTGGCAAAGCTGAGGTTTTTGAACTGGAAGTAGAATGTGTCTGGGTCCAAGCGCTCCATCGGGTGTCTGGGGACAAGAGGGGTGACGACCTGCCAAGGCGCTCCTGGAGCGGGTTCAGGAGCTGTCCCCAAATACAGCGCCCAGACACCCCCATGCGCTGCACCCGCGACCCAACCTTCACCGCCCTGAGAATTTCGGATCTTTGCCAGACAAGGAGCCCGGGGAGAGAGGAAGAGGAGGGCAGGCTGTCAGGGAGCAGGTGGGGTGACCGCTCACCGCTCGGGCCCAGCTCTGGTCCTTTCACTGGACCCTCCTGCCCAGCCACACTCTCAGTATCCTGCCCACCTATCCCCTCGTCCACGGGAAATGGAAAAAGGTGAGGGGAGGGCCAGCAGATGGCACGGTGGCTAGACATCCACACGGCCACTACGATGCGAGTCCCAGACCCAGCAGCTTGAAAATCACACTGGCGCATGTGCGTGACTCCCCAAATCGAGAGAGAATAGAGACGGGACTGCTGTGGCCATCCCTCCTGGGCGCTACCACTCACTTTCTCTTGCGGTCTCTATCAGGAGACTACACGCACCCTATGGCAAAAATCTAAAAAATGTAACATACCAGTAAGTCCAAGTCCTTGATATTTTCACCTGTGTGTGCCGTTTTTAAAAACTCGGCTAACACCTGAGCCGCCCCTGCTTACTCCCGCCATGAGCGCTGCCGGTGTGCCCTCACCCCTCCCTGCCGCCCAGATCCTGTGGCCTCCACAGCCATCTAGCAGATGAGCAGGCAGAGGCAGTGGGGGACCTGCCATGTCACGGCTGGAGTCTGAGGGGGCTGGTCCCCTGTACAGCCGGGCCACAGTCAGCTGCAACCTCACGTGACCTTCAGGTTTGTGCAGGAATAGCTGCGGCTCGCGTTTACCCGATTTGAAAACAGGAGCTGGACACCGGCAGCCCAGGTGCACAGGACAAGGGCCTGCGTGGACAGCGAGCGTGTGACCCGCTCAGCCCAGGTGAGGCCTGGATGAAACCATGCCGGCCTTGAACTCCAGGCCCTAGAACTGGGGACCGTCGCCTCCTGGATTTAACCACCCGGTCGTGGTATAGCGTCAGGGCAGCCCTGGCAGCCAACGGCCCTTTCTTTTAGAGACGTTCACTCTCTGCTCACTGGTCTGCCGTCAGGGCGTGTCTCACAGCGTGTCTCACATGCACGCGCACACACACGCATTCCCGCCCTCTGTGGTGCTGCTTCCTAACATGCAGGTGCTCAGGTGTGAAGGAAGGACCCAGGTGAGGCGTCTCCCAGGTAGGAGAGAGGGGGCCTTGGGGCGGATGGGGGTGCTCTGAAGGAGGAAAGGGGCCCCTGACAGAAGGGGCTGGGAGGGCAGGGGAGAGGGCACAGCAGGGCAGGACGGAGCTCAGGGTGGGGACAGGGCCGTGGGCTGCCACGAGGCCTCACCTGAGGATCTCCTGCAGAATGATGCACAGGGACTGATGGTTTTCAACCGTTTTCTCCCAAGGACAAAAGTCCCTTCCCTCGTTGAACACGAAGCCTTTCCAGCAGTTTTCAAAATCTGAGGCAAGGAGGGGAGAACGCAGTTGGGGCCCCAGGGCTTTCTCCTTGACCCTCCAGGGCCTCCTCCGAGGGCCAGGTCTCCTGGATCCTGCTGAGACCAGGAGGACTGAGTCCTGGGCAGGCTCCCCTGGGTCCAGCCCCTCTGCCAGCATCCCCGAGCTGCCACCCCTCACCCTGCACCTCCCCCAGCCTTGACCCCCCCAGTGCTCACCTTGGGGGGACATGATCACCACCTTAGCCCCTTCCTCATACATTCTGTGAAGCCCATCCTTGAATTCCGGGTCCCAGAAGTAGTAGAGTCGGGCGGTGACGATGGTCAGCCTCACGTTGCGGTGCGCAGCCAGGAAGTCGGCCACCTGCTTCGCACACGCAGGGCAGGGGCTCCAGGACAAGTACCAGGTGACCTGGTAGTCCTCATTAGGGGACAGGATGTCATTGCAAAACCACGAGAGAAAGCACAATTCTGCATGGTAGGAAGACCAGACCTGGGAGGGGAGAAGACGTCAGGAGAGGGCAGAGGAAAGGGTCAGGGCAGGGACCAGGACATTCCGATCAGGGTTTCTCTCCTCTTAGTCCCTCCCCTCCCCTGGTGGGCTCGGTGTCCCCCTCACCCCGTGCTCACCCATGAAGTCTCGCGTGCGTTCCCGGCATCCATTCTACAGCCCCTGAGCCTGCTCTGGCCGGGCCCTCGGGCTCAGGCGTGTCCCTGCCTACTGCGTGCTGGGAGGGCACAGACCCTGCCCCATCATGGAGCGGCTGGCAGTGGGGGCGCACGGGGATGGGGAAGAGGGTCTCAGAGACGACAGGAGAGATGGTGCACACTGCCTCGTGCAGACCCGTGCATGGATTATGCTCAATAATTAATACTAATGATTCAGTCAGGCTTCCTGGGCTAAGGTAGGGACCAAATCTCACCAGCAGCTGTCAGTTTTGTTTGGTTTCATTTTGGGTTTTTTTGAGAGATTTTTGTTATAGGGCATGTGTGCTCGCTGGAGAGACAGAGAGACACTAAGCGAGAACTCACCCCCTGGGGGTGTGGCCACACCGCAATCCCTTCTCCTTTCTCCAATCAGAATTATGGGGGCACACACACACACGTGCCCAGCGTTGAGTTTGCAGCTACCGAACCTGGGACTTGAAGTATGGCTGACCGTCTGGAAGTCCAGTAACATATCCATCTGCTACCTGCTGGTCCCTCTGTCAGCTTTCTAAACTATGGGTAGAATAATTTACCAAACTCACTGGCTTCTGTGGTGTCTACGGGGCAGCACCACCCTGGAGTACTCCACCCAGCACACAGCAGCCCGTACTCCCGGACACTCCCTCCATGTCTCCAGTCTGGGTGGAGAAGGAGTCAGGAGTTTGGGGGACACTGGATGGTGGGATGTGGTCAGTAGGGGACTGCTGGTGGGGCCTTGCTCTGGCAATGGCTGCTGTTGGTCACAGCTGCTCTAGTGGCAGCCCAGGGTCCTTGCCATGGGATCTGAGCAGCCAAGGAAGAAAGGGGAGGGCGCGTGTTCACCAAGGTGTGACGACTCGCCCTTGACTGTGGCCCAGGGCTATGACCGGGGTGGCCCACACAGCCCAGCAGGTGCAGGGCCAGGGGAGGAGCTAGTGCTCAGACCCCAGCCCTCTGAGGTGACTGTCCTAGGACTCGCTGGATACAGAGCTCGGTGATGGTAGCACAGGGAGTGACCGGTAGAGACCGGCAGTGGACCCTACACCAGGCCCG